TGTCGCTAAGATATAAGCAAAAAAGGTTTTTTTTATGTCAAAGACATACAGTATATCCTTAGTGTTTACTATTATGGCGAGCTCTAATGCATAGTCCTCGGCAGGATGCTCTTCAATAGAGTTAACGATGATTGCTTGATCTTGAGTAAAAACTTTATCTTGCTGAATAACTTGAGAAAATGAAACTTTGGGGGAAACAATTTTTCCTGATGCGTTAACACTTGACATTTTTAACTTATCTCTGTAGTCAGAGACTAGTTACGAGATTGTTACAGATAAATAAATATTCTATTTATCTAAACTTTTTCACTTTATATTTTTTCAGATGTAGACTTATTTCACATGCAAATACTCGCGTTGCATACTACAAGCACGCATTACTATACCGCGGAGCTCGCTAGTAAATACGTCGGCACGGCGGTCTAAATTTATATTCTTTATATTATTCTTTTATTTATAAATTTATACTCTTTTATATAAAAAGAAAGATTGTAGATTTAACTAATTTTCTAGTAGGAACATTACATCTCCCGGACTTCTAAAAATAATACCTTGACGTCTAAGTGAAAAATAGACCTTAATTGTTTTATGTTCAAGCATTAAAGATTATAGACAGCAATATTTAGTTGCTGCACGAGGAGTCATTGATGACGTTGAAATCAAAAGGAAACAGCAAGTTAAAGCTTTTTCCTTCATTTTGATATACATACTTTAACACCTCGTTTAGAGTATGTAAAAGGGAATATTAATGGTTCTCAGCATACTAATTATTGCTATAGGGTCATGCAAATTTTATTGAACATATCAAGAAAAAGAAATAGAGTGAACCTAAATTTTCCATACTTTTATTTGTGAAATTGCTAAACTACCTTACTGAAAAGTTTATCCTTCTCTTATTTCATAACTTTGGATGGCTGGAACTTTCAGAAAGAGTTTTGGAAAAACGGGCCTCAATTGATAGGTTGAGATTTTCCGAGACGGACGGAGCGGCCTTATCTACTTATTTTGAGCGTTCAGTGATAACTCTTCCAGTGTTATCTTTGGATATTGAATTTCAGCAATGCTGCTTTATATAAAACTTTGTCCTTAAATACTAATAATACAATTTTATTCTTATTATTTATTAATTATTATTTAATTTTATTTTGATTATTTGTTCTATAACGGGGTTTTGTCTCGAGATTTATCGATAAAAACTGAACATATGAAATAGAATACTAAATTCGTGGGTTTTATATCAAAGATGTAGCAATCGAATAGTAGCCGCTAAATTTACTTTTCAAGGAAAGCCTGCAGACGGAACCTGGGTCCAGCTGCATCAGTATGTCTCGTCTGTCTATCGAGAAATTTGGCTCGCAGTTGCTCGCGGCTGTCCGTACAAATTATTTATTTAAAGGGTGGTTTCGGGAAGCGCGAAAGACGTTCCCTCGACTGAATAACGTGTCGAGCAAAACCACGTTAAACGCACGGATTCGAAGTCGGGATGAGGAGTGATACAGCGGCAAATAAACACAACACCGGATTAACACACCAATCTTTTACTTCTCAACAATCGACTACAAGACACTGATCTTACGTCGACATACTACGAACAGCACAGTAACAAACGCGGGCGCGAAGGTGAATCGGTGGGTGGTCAGCCTGCCAATTGCCTTTTAAAAAATGAATTACAATGAATGCCCGATAAACAATTTCCGCCGTTATTTCGTCAACGGGGTAGCCGGCAGATTTGCAACACTACCCACCCATCAGCTGGCACCCAAACATGCAAGAGAGAGTGAAAAGAGAGAACACGGCACCGACCTCGACCTTCAGCCTCTCTGACGGCTAAAAGGCTTCGCAGTCTGACATCTCTCGTGCGCTCCTTCTCGCCGACCGCATCGCTGGTGTTATTGTTATCGCTGTTTGTTCTCTTGCTAATCCTATCTTTCGCTCTACAAAGATTGCTGCCTCAACCTGTTGTTACGCTCGTTATTGTTGTTGTTTTTGCTTCCGCTGCGGTTGCCGTTGTTCCCGTTGCCCTTCGGTCGCTCGGTGTCTGCAGCAGCAACGAAGTCCGTTCACGCGCGCACCGGCGCACCGGCTCACCCTCACGCACCGGTGCCGGGTATCCTTCGGGACACGGCTGGGCGCGATCCAGCCACATACTCTAATTCTCGTCTGCGCACTGCACGTGTCTCCGAAAACAAACGTTGATGAGGTCGCGGGGACAACTCTGGAAAACCGTTGACTTCGATTAAATCCGCGCGCGTGACTTTTTCTGCTAAAGCCCAGCAGATACTCTCCGAAATTTTCAATAACATTAATATATTAAATAAATTACAGGATAAAAGATATTCTTTCATATTTCTCCATCTCTAGCTACCATTACCGTCAAAACGGCTTTGTAGATCACGTCATATATTATTCATAATAAAAATTATAATAAGAAGTGTTATTTTGAGCTTCTTTTTCTTTAGTAATATAGAGGGTAAGACAATTTTTAATTACCATTTTGGATACTTCTCACCGAGTAATTCAAGTCTAATGAATTGGAAAATACATTGCTATTACGTATTATAGTTAAATAAAGGAAAAGCGAAAATTTTGATAAAAAATTGATAATTTGATAATTTTTTTTAGATCAAAAGGTCATTCTCAGTCAATACGAGCATTTTTCCCTGTATACACAATTAAATTGCCTATTTAAAAAAATTTTTTCGTATGCCTATGTTCCCTCTATCCAATGTTCTACAATTTAGAAAATAAACCACGAATTAGTGCACTGTATGCCGATTTAGTTGCGCCCTCGCTTGATTTATTCTAACAGTGTCAAGTTACCTCCTTGGCTTCTCGCATAATCGCTTTAATAGCACTTCTTGCCAGCTTTCGTTGAAAACTACGAGTAAGTTACTTTTCTTCTCACTAAGCCTTTCTGAAGCTTATTGACAGTCATGCGTGACCGCTTTTACTCGCTTTATCGTTGCCAGTTAACTGCTTGAAAACTACATGCTCACTTTCTTTCACCTTGATGATTGCTTTTAGATACAAATTATTTTCTACATTATACGAGGTGTGATCAAAAAGTAAGGTGAATTTAGAAATTTAGCGGGCTACGTCCGTTCGATCTTCGACTTTTTTATTTGGTTATGTCGGTACACTCGTCTAGAACATACGTTCCAAATTTCAGCTTTGTAGTATGTTTGGTTTGTTTGTGAGAGGTATCAAGGTTAGAAGTGTTTTGCGTGCTCCACGATTTGCTGCTGTCTAAAAACATGGAACAAAGAGTTTGCATTAAATTTTGTGTGAAAAATGGAATCAAATGTTCCAAAACACTTGAAATGCTGAAAGTGGCATACGGTGAGTCTACTTTAAGCCAAAAAAATGTTTACAAGTGGTATAAACTCTTCCAAGAAGGCCGAGAAGACACCGACGACGAACCTCGTTCTGGAAGCCCCAGCACATCAACAACTGATGAGAATGTTGAAGAAGTGAAGAAAATAGTGTTGGGAAATCGTCGAATTACCATTAGAGAAATTGCTGACGATATTGGCATCTCATTTGGTTCGTGCCAATCAATTTTGACGAGTGTTTTAGACATGAGACGTGTGTCAGCGAAGTTTGTTCCGAAATTGCTCAATTTCGACCAAAAGAAACGTCGCATGAGCATCGCCCAAGAGCTACTGAATGACGTCAACGATGATCCAGATTGACTCAACAGGGTTATAACAGGTGACGAAACATGGGTATACGGTTATGACGTCGAGACTAAGACTCAATCGTCCCAGTGGAGGCATTCTGGATCACCAAGACCAAAAAAAGCACGCCAAGTTCGATCGAATGTAAAGGTTTTGCTTACAGTTTTCTTTGACTGCAGGGACGTGGTGCATCATGAATTCTTGCCAGAGGGTAGAACAGTAAATAAGGAATATTACCTGCAAGTTATGCGCAATTTGCGCGAAGTAATCCGCCAGAAACGTCCGACGTTGTGGAAAAATAAAAATTGGCTTTTGCACCATGATAACGCCCCTGCTCACACATCGTTGCTTGTGCTCGAATTTTTGGCTAAAACCAACACAGTAACGATGCCACAGGCACCGTATTCCCCAGATCTGGCCCCCTGTGACTTCTTCTTGCTCCCAAAACTGAAGAGGCCCATGAAAGGACGGCGTTTTGCCACGATTGAGGAGATAAAGACGGCATCGAAGGATGAACTAAACAAGATCACAAAAAATGATTTTTTGAAATGCTTTGAGGATTGGAAAAAGCGTTGGCACAAGTGCATTATATCCGAGGGGGATTACTTTGAAGGAAATAAAATAAAAATTGATGAATAAATAAATATTTTTTGAGAAAAATAAAAATTCACCTTACTTTTTGATCACACCTCGTACATTGCATTTGAGATTATGCCTTATAGAATAGTATTTACAGCTGTATACGGATCAATTAATTATTATTCACGATTACTAGCGCAAGGTAAGTGAGAGTAGAAAGAGAGAGAGAGGCACATATGTGACGGAGTCCTATCGCGCGTGAGTGAGATTGCGAGAGATATACACGTGCACGCTGATTGTGTGTATATATCTTATGTACATAAGATGTTTTATAGGTTCTGGGCCGTTGGAACGCTCAAATATTTGTGTTATAAGTTATTTTATTTGTTACAATTGAACTGTAACTTGTATCCTTTGGAAATCTCAACCCATAGACTTCAGTATCAAAAACTTTACAGATCATTAGTCGGCTTTTAGAAAGTCAAGTTAGATTGCATACCTCGTTTCGTTATACTAATAGACGTAGAAAATAGATAAACTAGTGGTATGTATAAAAAGTTGAAGTTATCCCTTGTGATCACACAAATCTCTTATATAATTTTATCTATATGTACGCGTAGAAATATAGAATAAAGGCAAAATAAAAATCGTGAAGATATGCAAGAACGAACATTAATATATATTGTTATATGAAAATCAATATTTCTATTATAAAATAGTTTATATTTTTTTCTTATTTTTCAGATTATGTGATGAACAATTATCTAATCAGTCGCACTATGATTTTGGTTTGAGGGCATTGAAATCTGTGTTAATTTCTGCTGGCAATGTAAAACGTGATCGAATTCAGAAAATAAAGGAGGGTATGCATCATAGAGGAGATTCAAATATTGATGAAGCTTCAATCGCTGAGAATTTGCCCGAGCAAGAAATATTGATCCAATCCGTATGTGAAACTATGGTACCAAAATTGGTCGCAGAAGATATCCCACTTCTATTTAGTTTGTTGAATGATGTTTTTCCAAGTGTCAACTACGTTCGTGCTGAAATGGAAGGTAAAATTAAAACAACAATAGTAATAATAACAGTAATTATAATCAGAACAATAGAAAATGTCTTGTTGACCATGTCTGCGATATCTATTTGAGTTTCATTTCCTTTACCAGAGATAGGATTCGCTTGTTTCTAATCTAGTTCTAACTAAAATGTGTAAGATAGTTTTTTATTACATAAATTATGTTAAATATTTTTAGAAAATTAGTTATCGTTTCTTGGAGAGTGCTTATACTCACAAATGTCATATCTGTAAACTGAGAAATCTTATATCTAATATATTTTTAGAATCTCTGGCAATTAAAAAATAAATATACTTCTTAACCTTTTAAGGACGGGGATTTTTACGTTAAAATTTGACTTTTTTTTTGCACAATATTTGTGCATAAAATGAAAGAATATGTCACGTGGACTGCCTGACAAAATTGGTGGTCGATATATCGACCAGTCCCGTCCTTAAAAGGTTAAATACATTTCAAAAATATTTATGGTTATAATTGAAACGATACAAATCTACATCAAAATTTGATGTATCATTGCTATGGTAACATACTATTTTTCAATCATGTCATATGCTTCGAACATTATATTATAATTCTTATGTTCCCTCCCTAACTTTTTTAAGTTCTAGTAAGAGTTCTGCTACTCTAAAGCATCATATGTGGGTGGATTACTTTTCCCCGTATCATTTTCATGCCAGATGCTGTTTTATTTTCCGCAATATGCCTGTGTATATATATTCGTCTATCATCTTGATTTTCATGCGTTTCATCGAGTGCGAAGTAGCTTTGTGCTCGGTTTTTGATTGCATTCTTTCATCTGTCTCTTTCCTAATAGTTTTGTAATTTTTCTATTGTTACTTTTCCTTTATTTCCTTCATCTATCATTATTTCACTGTTGTCGTTCATTCTGCATTTTGTAAGGATCGCGTGGTATTCTTTTTTTTCTTAATAGTATACATTAAACTCAATTGCTTTTGAACATTTTCCTGCTATTCGATTTTATCTTTTTTACCGATGAAATACGGGGTGGTTTGGGTTTCTTACATCAGATTATCCAGACTCTGGAACTATTTTGCATCATGTTCTGCTGAGCAGGGGGTATTATATTAGATCCTTATCGTCCTTACCATATCTTTAATTATCTTACGAATATTACGCCTATTCTCATCAAATTTCAATTTTGTTGCCTAGCAGTTCAATTATTTTTGGTTACGTGCATCTATTCTCCTCTCGCATTATTATTATCACTTTCTAATGAAAATTTGTTCACCTTTTTTCTTTTTCTTGTATGGTATTTCTTGTGGATTTTTTATTCACAGAAATCAAGCGACTTATCCATGAAGTGTATCAGCATTCAAAAAATATAGTTATTACTAACGCAAAGAACATTTTTTTTTGTTAACGTTGTAAAGCTTCCAGTAGAAAGATCCAGAAGCGGTATGAAAAACTTTATGCAAACAAACGTACTATTCACCTACAATCAATGTTAGTCCCCTGTTGCCAAATGCATATAATTAGAAGGTTTTCTTTTGTTAATATAACGTAAGTAGTGAAGATTACGTACGATTTAGCTATAATTTAGATTGATTTATTATTCGTCTTGCCAAAATATTCCGTCGAATTATATTATGTATTTCTTGTGCCTTGAAAATCTCTTAATAGATTGATTTTATTTAGTTGTTGTGTGACGGTGTTACATCTTGTTTTTGTGTTATAGAATTTTTTAAGGAATAATGCCTTTAATAGTGTGGAAGCAATAAAGTTAACAAGAAAGTTGTTAATAAAATAATTATTAAGAAGTTGTTAATAAAATAATAATTAAAAATGTAATCTCATGTAATGAGAGATTTTAGCTCTCATTACCTATCGATGTGTTGAATATATTTCGTAAATTGAATTTATTATTTTGTTCGACTAGCTTTAGTTTTCCTTTTAGTAGTGACTGCGTCTCAGCTTCCTTATTGACAATGTTGTAGATTACGTATGATTCCTCCTATATGCTATAACGGTTGCACGAACGTGTCATTTACAGCAACTCACATTCAGCATAGTTTTGCGAGGAATTGGTGGAATAAGCGGCAATTGTAAAATGAATATACGTGGTATTGCCGTACACACTTGTGTAGTTGTAGATGTTTATTGGAAATAACAAAAAGATAAACAAGGAGCTGGATGATATTTTATATACTACTTATCCAAAGAAAGTTGTACAATTTTGATGCGATGCCTGAGTTAGACTAAATATCGTTGAAAGAAAGTGCATCACGGAAGCGTTAATTTCTTCACCTCATCGCGAGTTAGGAAAATTTGATATTTGGCGCGTAGAGGTAGTGCGTTCCATTCTTGGCGATGTTCGCGTAGGCGAAATAATTTTACGTCCAGTAAAATATAATCATGGATTCAGCAAATCAATCATTGTATTCATGATCAAAAGCCTCCATATACCGAATTTGATCAGAAACGGTTGATTTTTCAAAAATCTTTACGTGTTACGTGGTTTTGTGTATCATATAGGATTTAATCCCGAATGAGACAATTTTTACCATATGGATTTTGAAAGTAGAGCTCCAAACCTTTTATTTGGGACGTTTAGCACTCAATCAGCTTCATGATATCGTTGTATTATCAATTTAATAAACAAAAAAGTGGAGTCACGTGATTTTGACACCCATATTTTATCAGATGTGAAGTTTCGGAGAAATGGCCACTCAAATTTCAAAAGTAAACTTCAAGACCTTCCAATTGATTACCTATAGAAATTTAATAAACAAAATGATTTTTGGTTTGTAAGGGGTCATTCATTGAGAAACAATAACTCATATATACGAGGTGTGTTCAAAAAGTAAGGTGACTTTGTATTTTTAAGAAAAAATATTTATTTATTTATCAATATTTATGTTATCCCCTTCAAAGTAATCCCCCTCAGATACAATACACTTATGCCAACGGTTTTTCCAATCCTCAAAGCACTTCTCATAAGCACTTTTCGGTATAGCCTTGAGCTCTTCCAGCGATGCAGTCTTTATCTCTTCAATCGTTGCAAATCTCCGTCCTTTCATAGGTCTCTTTAGTTTTGGGAACAAGAAAAAGTCACATGGGGCCAAATCCGGTGAATATGGTGGCTGAGGCATGATTGTGATGTTGTTTTTGGCCAAAAAATCTCTCACAAAAAAAAAGATAAGTGAGCAGGGGCATTATCGTGATGCAAAATCCATGAATTGTTTTTCCACAATTCTGGACGTTTTCTTCGTATTGCTTCTCGCAAACGGCACATAACTTCAAGATAATACTGTTTATTGACCGTACGTCCATATGGTAAGAACTACTGATGCACCACGCCATGGTAATCGAAGAAAACAGTGAGCAAAACTTTGACATCTGGGCTCTTCCATTGGGATGATTGGACTTTGATTTCGATATCATAACCATATACCCATGATTCGTCACCAGTTATGACCCTTTTGAGTAAATCTGGGTCGTCGTTTGACGTCATTCAACAGTTCTTGAGCGATGGTCATGCGATGGTTCTTTTGGTCAAAATTTAGCAATTTCGGAACAAACTTCGCTGACACACGTCTCATGCCCAAAACGTTTTCATTAGTTGTTGACGTGCTTGGGCGTCCAGAGCGAGGCTCGTCATTGGCATCTTCTCGGCCATCTTGGAAGAGTTTGTACCACTTGTAAACATTTTTTTTACTCAGAATAGTTTCACCGTATGCCACCGTCAACATTTCAAGTGTTTCGGAGCACTTTATTTTATTTTTTACACAAAATTTGATGCAAATCCTTTGATCCATATTTTTCGTTAGCAAGAAATCGCCGAGCACGCAAAACACTTATAACCTTTACGCCTCTCACAACCTTGGTACAGATGTTTGGGAAGAATGTACCAACATAACAAAACAAAAAAATCGATAATCGAAAGTACGTTGCCCGTGAAATTTGAAAAGTCACCTTACTTTTTGAACACACCTCGTATATAACGTGCGGGCACACACACACACAGATAATATACAAAAATAAGGACTGCCGAGTTTTATCGTTTTGAGTGCATTGTTACGCTAGTTCTATGTTTTATAAAGAAAGAACTTCTTTTGTACTTGAAAAGAATATTTTAAATTAAAACTATTAAAACAAAAAATTGCCTCTTAATTGTTAATATTATTAAAGTGGTGTATTATTTCTTAATCAATCAATTTATTGAACGAAATTGTATCCACTACTCAAATACAAGTCAGTTAGTTCAGAGAATAAAAGAAGAATATAATATAAATATAAGAAAAGGGAAAAGTTATTGTCGTCTTCCTAAAAAGCTGTTGTTAATTAGAAGGAAAAAATAAATTTACTTAATCGGATAAAGGAAATAAGGATAAATCATAGATTCACACAATTTTCCTAATTATCCTTTTATATTTAAAATATTTTGTTCGTTTACAGTTTACAGTTTATATTCTATTCCAGTTGTTAATTCCACCGTGCTATTTCTTTTTCGGCGTAGATCCTTTATGAGGCGTGTACGTTTAATTTTTTGCATTCTGCGCATGTTATCGGCGCTCTCAATTATATCGAGTAACGCGATTTTAATGCTATGATATCCCATATAGAAATTAATTATATTAATTAATTGAATAATTTTGTTAATTTTTACAAACAATTATTAACTCGTCCCCTAAAAGAAAAAATTAATACATTTATAGGCAGCTGAATACGCGTTGCCATTTATAAAATTATAACAAGTGAAAAAGGCAACGTTATCGTTAAGGTCTAATCACCCGCTTTGTAGTGCCACTTCACCTCACCTTCTCTCTTACTATAGCGTGGATTTAATTTCAACTAAACGTGAAAGTTTCAAATTTATAACAAGTTTTTCGTATACGAACTTCAGAACACTATAGTTCATGGACTCCGTGTGCTGCGCTATTATTGACCATATTCCCCAAACGAGTTAAAATAGTATATAGTGCGCCACCATCTATGGGACACTGAAGCTCGCAAGGTAG